TTTGAGAAATAAGCAGTCATAGATATATTGTATACATGACATTTAATATTTAGTTTTCTTCAATAACTTGGAGTGTCTTTAGGTCATCCATTTCTGACACTCCTTTGGTGGGTAGGTCAGGACTGGCAGGAATATGAGCTTGTCTGTGCTGCTAAATATCACTCATTTTCATAGCTGCAGCTTTTACAGACCTCCCAGATAGTTTGTGTAGAAGCTGTTCATTAATATGAATCAACAGATTGATATAGTATATTCATGATTTGAGGTGGCACTAACAGCATGTAACATTAAGAAGATTTTTTTACCATAGCAGTCCTGTATGCTACTTTTGATTTTGTTTTCTATGTAAGTTTACACCTTTCAGATAAAACTTATTTGAGGTTGCTCAATACTGACGTTATTAAGAAACAGTACTAAACTACTTGCTTTTCTATCCTGTGATCCCCAGCCTTGATAGCTAGAGCGAATGTATTTAAAACCTACCTTTTTACTTGCACTGACTCTATCTGCTTTTGGTGGTTGTAAGAAACATCTCTATCCAGCTGTACTGGCTTTGAAATTTTGTGGTTTTTTTGTTGTTGCTGTTATTTTCTTGTGCGTGGGTTGTTTTGGTTTTTTGTTTTTTGTTTTTTGTTTTTGTTTGTGTGGGATTATTAATAATTATTATTATTATTATTAATTTTAATTGATCTGTAGGATTTCCCAGTGTATTAGATACAGATGTATAACGCAGTTCATAAATTCCTTTCCTCATTCAAGGGGACTGAATGGAAACAACATGATACAACAAACACATTCTTGTTATTATTTTTGATCTGTTTAACTTATCCTTCCTGTTTGTTTTAATTGCCTCAGCATTGGCAATGAAAGCAAAGTTTTAAAATAGTATCCAACATCTTCAAGACCTCAGCTGCCACTTGCTTCTTACAGCTTTTCACACTTTCCTGTTCCAAGATGTCTTACCCTTTTTTTTAATTCTATGTCTGGATGAAGTACACTGTTTTATTCTCTTTTGTTTTGGGGATAAGTAGAAGAAATTGGGAAAAGATCCTTGAATGTCTTGATTGTGTATCTTTTCTGTTTTGGGGGGGTTTATCATAGTTTTGAAGACAGAATGTTTACAACTCATTCAGAATCATCTTGGGACTTAGAAACTCATGATAAGTCTAACATAAAATAATTACTTTTTCTAAAAATGTTTAGCTTATTACCTACCCCTACTTTATTTCATGCATGGGAGAATATTACTGAACTCCATATTGCAGCTCACAGTTCGTTCCTAAATAGTCATATCTTTCAAAGAGCATAGAATGAAACAATTTGAAGAGTAAGTACCTAATTCAAATGGATAAAACAACTCATTCTTTAGCAGTTTCCCCATTCTAGGGTAAGAGGATTTACCCTTGCATATCTAAACCCAAGTACACAAGTGCTGTTTTTCAAGCATCTGATAAAAGCATGAGTTCTCTTCTGTTTTTTGACAGAATTATCCTACCAAAAGAAAGTAGTTTCTCAAGTATGGGTAGTTGGGGGTGCAGTATTTTGCTTTTTAAAAAACTGGAATGTGTAAAATCATGTTGTAAACATTTCTGAAGAAGAAGAGAGAATTTAATTTCCATTTTTGGAGGTGTTAGGAACATTATGAAATTTAAATGGGACTGTGCAACATAAATGGACTGTTGTCAGTTGATTTTTGAGAGGGTAGCACTCTTTGGGTTCTTTAACATTATTCTAAAGTGTTTTGTTTTTTTTTTCTCCCAGTATTTTATTTTATAAGTAAAAGGTCTGATTAGTTGAATCCCAGTGTATTAAATAAAAAAAATCCCTGATTTGATCTTTGATCTCTGAGGTAACGTTGCTGTGCTGTATTTGATGAGATGTTTTAAGTACTGCAAAGTATTTTGCTTTGTGTTGAAAAGTTTACTCGTGTATTCGAGTAGAAATGAAGGGTTAGAAATAATCCTTAAAATAATTTTTTACCTATTAGGATCTGGACTATAGTGCCAAAATATTGTGACTTTCTTCTCAACTCTTCCTGTGGGTTATTGACTTTGTTTGGCAGAGGACAAGCCATGTGTAGTTTTAGTCAAGAAAAGATATTACTTTTTTTTTTTTGTAATTTTAAGTTAGATCTGAGATTAGCTGTGCAAACCTCCAGCTGCTGGGCTATATGTGATGCTACCGGGGTGTGATAACTTACTTTGCTAGATATGTGCAATATTTTTAGCCATGATTCCACAAAAGGTAAAATTAAGGGTCAAAGACCTTTGCTGAGAAGAGAACTGCTTCAAAGTTACAGTGAAATATAAGTGTGCAAGTGCCCTCAGAGTTGGACAGATGCATAGGTCATACTCATTTTCAGGCAAGTGCAAATGAAAGACTTCTAATATATTGAGCTTTGACATACTCTTCATGTGGAAGATGTGTAATGAAAGCAAGCATAACTCTTTGTTATATTATATCCAGCTGCTTTTTATATTGTGTAATGACTTCTTACATGTACTCTCAATGTATGAATGTATGAAGGGACTTACTTTTAACATTTGGAGCAAAGAACATGGTTGACGGAGTGTTTGGGGCAGCAGGGAGTCAAGTTCTGCTTCTCCCATAATTAGAAAAGGAGTTGTGCTTTTCTAGGGCCTTTTATTCAGCCTGCTCTTATGGAGCTTCTATGTTCCCTGTGAAAGACCAGTGAATAGCTCTTGAAGATGCAGTTTGTGTCCATAAATGAACTAAGAACATCCAAGGGTAGTTGATAAATGCATTAATAATTGTGCAAACATGTAGTTCTGTGGTTTACAGAGCAGTGGATAGCACCCTGGAGGAGCAGCTAGCAAAAGTGATGTGAAGCAGCACATGAATGTAGATGGGCAGGGATCTCATTTTCACACAGGCATGCTGTAGAAGTGGATAGTTTGATACTTCATTATGTTACATCTTTGTGTATTGATTTTGCCTCAGGAAAATTCAATGTAGTTTCTCTCATATGAATGATGAAAGCTCTGATTTTTGCTTTGCTTGAGGGTAGATTGAGAAAGGCATTGGGTCCAAAGGAATTAGATTAGAGGCCTCCCAAGAAATCAGCCTACATATAACCTCTCAAGCCATAAGCCTTTTGAGATGTTAATAATTATTGCACTCAGGTGTATCTACTGAAATATCTGGAGGTAGAAATTAAAATAAAGCTGAGACCTAGAGAATAAGGTAAAATTTGTGTGTATTTCAAGGAAGTATGCGGGTTAATACACTTTTCCTCATCTGAGGTGAGCTCTTTCTAACCAGATGAATGAGATGAGATAAAATATAAAATATAAAATAGTTTCCTCTAGTATAGAAACTTCCTCACTTGATTTTTTCATACTTTTCAAATAGTATGATCACATGGGGGAAATTATTTCATCGTGTAGTCATAATTTCAGTTTTCTTAAGAACTGGTTTTCAAGTTCTTTAAATGTTTTATATATTTCAGAAGAAACTCTATGAAGTACAAGATTTTCTGTTCTTACACTTCAGTATTTGGTGTTAAATCTGATGCTTGCCTGTTCAAGAAGTGTTTTATAACTTTGGATGACCTTTTCTAAATATTTTGTTTATACAGTACTTATGACATGTTGTAGTCTTAGAAACTTGTTAACTTGAAAATTTAAAAGAATACATTTAAGAAGAAGGCAACCTTGGCAAAAAAAAATTGTATGATTTCAACTTAAATGTTGAGGTGCAAACTCATACAAAATATTCAGCTACAGTTGTATAAGGGTAAATACTTTCCTACAACACCCGTGTTCAGGAATCTAGGAAAGTTTCACACATCCTACATATCCAGAACAACTGTTGCTAGAATTTAAACAGTTTGTGTAGAGATGCCCAAAATCAGAACTGTTGCCTTTGGCAATGAATCCATACTTGTTACCAAAGCTGAACTGAAAGAGAAACTTTTCCATTTTGTATTGCTCCTGTTATTTTAATTTTTGAACACTCATGCAGCGTTATTGTGTCTCCTTATATCTGTGTTTTATGTGAACACAGTGGAGGGATTTAGATGTTCCAGAATGTCCTCGGTGGTGTCCTGAGAGTTGTTATGACATTCTAAAATAATAATGTACAAGCCTGATTATCCTTATACTTGGTTTTCACCATAATTTATTGCTATAAAAATGTGAGAAATGTGCCCTTGGTCATTCTTAAATTAAAAATATATTTATTTATTTTTAAAAAATCCTTGAAAACAAGTCTTCATGTGTTTTTCTATCACTGCTGATGTGCGACATTTACTAATAACTTAGACGTTAACTACATATCCTTTCAGTGTCTTCACTGAAGAGCTGAAGATCTTCATGCTCTAGAAGCTTTTCATTTAGTTGGAAATGACTGTAAATAATTTCAAAATATATATTAATAGGAAAGCTTACATGTCAGAGAGGTGCAGTCTGTTTACCACTATAATTATCTGAGTATAATGCTTGGATAACTGCTGGATTACGCGAAGATACTTCAATAGTTAAGACTGTTCAGGAATCACATGAGACCACGTAATAAAACTGTATATTGATAGAGTTTATATTATCGTTATATTTTGATAAGTGAACAGTATAATTGTTCATTTTCTGAAATGCTTTATAAGAGTCTGATTAAGGAAGTTAGCAGATGTTAGTATCCCTTACATGGTTTAAAATACATTCCTGTAGCTAATGAGGGGGAATTCTCATCCAAACCAGCGCCACTTATTGTAACTACTGGAAAAAAAAAAAAAAAAGAGTTGTTTTTTTGTCACAGCTGATGAATTTTGCATGAAAACTGCAAAGATACAAATTCATCTGTGAGATCAAATTCTCAAGCTCTTTGTTATGACAGCTTTTTGTGATCAGGAAATGGGGGGGTAAGGTAATCATAGAACTCTGCTCAGGTGCTTGTACTTATGCATACGCTTAGTTTCTGTGGAATGAACACCCTCAGTGATGCATGGTTATAGGTTTAGCCCTACTTTTGTCTTCTCTTTACAGGCAGAGCTTGTTGATGTACAGTATGGGACTGTGGCAGACTTGATCCGGATTCAAGCCATTACAAATGTGACCAAAAAAATTGCACTTTTGAAGCTAGGACAATCACCTTTGCTTTATAAGGTTAGTCGAATGCTTGTTGCACTTCAGTTGAATTATTTATTTGTACTTTCAGTTTCAAGATACCACAACAAAGACATTCCCATTCTATCCCAGTAAGTCAGGATTTACTGGCATTCAGATTCTTCCTTAATACTAGCCACTTTGGTCTGTGCTGCCTTTTATGTGTTACAGTTATTCATTTTGCTGCATATCTTAGAGTGTCCCAGTAGTATTTTCTCTGGGTGTACTGTAAGCCTTTTGGTAAATAAAGAAATCCCTAAAAGAAGTAAATAACATGAGATGGGGGCTGGGGGGTGGGAGGGTGAAGAGGGGAAGGGAAAAAGGATGAGGGGAATGTGGGGAGGAGGAGGGAGGGAGGCAGCTGAGGTCCAGGAATAGTTTGATCTGTGTATGCTAAAAATGTACATATAATTGTTTATATTGCTTAGTCTGCTGGCTGTAGTTTGGGCATGCTGTGAGAGGAGGCAGAGCACAGTATATGCTCAGTCAACCTCAGGCTTTTGCAGGTCTTTCCAGTTCCATCAGGCTGTGGCTAAAGCCCAGCACTTTGGGCCTTGGTGCGGGTATGCTTCTGCCAGCACTGAGACTGTGAGGTAGTAACCAGAAGTGTACACTACAGGAAGACTAACACTATTGTTTATGAATTTGTTTAAGAAATTGCAAGGTAACTTGATACAGTCATGACATACATAAATACATAAATACATACAGCCTTGCTCTGTGGAGAATTTGCCTTTGACACCTTGGTTCTTTCTGCTGTCCTTAACACCTCAGAGGGACAAAAGGGACTAAGAGTTGGAAAAGAACATGAACTTCTGTGATGTTTTCTGCTGTGTAAACTGTAAGCAGACTGCCATGCTTTCCCCCTGCCTTTAATAGTCAGTCAGTCCTGTAAAATCACTAGGATTTACTGGTCTATGAATGTGTTCAGATAATAACAAGTTCAGAACGAGAAACGTATTTTTCTTCCTTCTCCTTTGGTTGCAGTTGTGTGGGAAGGGATGTCCATGGCTATGTGTATGTGTCTGTAATTTGTCCTCCAACTCCAGCAAGTGCAGAGATGGAGCTCACTAGTCTACTTGAATGTTAGACATCATAGGCTCAATGTGTAAACCACATTTCAACTGCAGTGTCAAGTAACTGCCAACTATTGAAAATATTTTATAAACAAAAGTGCTGTTTTGCCTTTCAGAAAATATACTAGTCCAATAAATATTTAATTAATTCATTCCCAATTCATGAAAGCAATTATAAAAGAACAAGTGACTCCAGATCTTGGAATTAAAAGAATCAGGATCTGCTTTGTTGGCCATAGAAAGCACAGTTGAGATGATGACACAGATTCAGAAAATAACCCCTAAAATTTTGTTCTATAATAACAGTATTTGTCTTAATAAAAGTGCCATTTTCAACTGAGTAGCTTTAGCTGTTTATTTAAATTATTTAGATGCAATTTAATTGCACCCATGAAAGGTCAGCTGTCACTGTTAGAACTTGGCTGTTGTGCATTATTTCCAGCAATAGATCTCGCACTGCATTTCATCACTGACAACGAAATAGCAATCAGGGCTCATATAGTAGGAATTTGATAAAGATGCAAAGGTTGCTGTAATAGCACTGTCTGAAGTGTCTGTGAGGTGGACTTTTTGCCAATTTGTGTTCTCTATGCACTTGCTATGTCTAAATTAGGAAGTAATGCCACCTGAATAGTAGGGAAAAACAATTGGTGCTGAGGACAAGGGTCACCTCAGGAATGTTTAGTTTGGGTTGGCTGTAGTCTCATCCCAAGAAGTAAGTGCAAACCGGTGGATTAGGTGTGATGGCCACATTTTTGGTGCTCATTTGCTATTCCAAAAGAATCCACAGTCTGTTACATAATATGAACCAAAGTGTGATATGCTCAAGAGAGTGATTTTTTGAATGCACGCACGCTCAGGGACTGAGCTAAAAATACAACTCCCCAGACCTATGTTTTATGTTCTGCTACTCTGTTACTCGCACCTTCCAGAGCATAGACTGAGGTATGGAAGCTTTCCCTTTATTTGGTATTTCTTCTATTTGAGGTTGTAAACAGTTTTGTTTTCTTGGTTTGTTTGTTTGTATGATTGATTGGTGGGTTTTTTGTTTTGGTTTTGTTTTTTTTGGGGGAATGGGTTTTTTTTTAGGATATAAATTGTGTCTCTTTAATTGTGAAATAATTGTAAGTTTTACTTTTCTCATGAGAAAATATGCAGTAAGATACGAGAAATAGGTTATTTTACCATAAAGAATATTAGAAGTGAAAGAGAAGGCAGGGAGTAAGTGAGCAGCTGTGTGTTTCTGAGTTACCAGCTGGGCTTAAACCACGACATCAGGGAATTTGAAGCAGAAAAGCCTGAAGTTAATGTGCTGTTAGAATATGCAGTTGAATCCTTAATGCGAGTAATTGTGATTAAATTTGGTAAGGATCACAAATTTAAGCTGCTTTGTAAGAATAAGATATGTGGAAATCTGACCTTTAGTTATTTTTGTAATTGAATATGTTTTCAGATTTTGTTGGGATTGTTGTGTTTCTGTTCCACTGACACATATGTAATTTAGTGTCTGATAAGGATAACAGGAGCAGCAGCAATGGCAGGGAGCACATTTCCTAGAGTATTGGCAGAGCCACGCAGACATGTCTTGGTCCCTTAAGCTGAACCTTTTCAGATAAAGAGTATGTTACTACAGCCACATGGTAGATGCCCCATCCCTGGAAGTGTTCAAGGCCAGGTTGGACGGGGCTTTGAGAAACGTGGTCTAGTGGAAAGTGTCTCTGCTTGCGGCAGGGGGTTGAAACTAGGTGATCTTTAAGATCCCTTCCAACCCAAACAATTCTATGGTATGATAAATTACCCGTCAGAAAGAGTAGGGACACTACCTTTATAGCAAAGTATCAAAAGAGTGTTGACTTTGGGGAAGAAAAGAAACAGGCAGAGCTTACATTGCTGTGATAAAAAGGATAAAAATGGATATGTATTAACCGATGTATATATCAGAGTGGAGTAGAGGCTTAGAAAGGGTTTTTACCATTGATACGGCTCTCTTAAGGTCAGTAAGGGAGCAAGACTGTCTCTTATAAAATTAATATTAAAGGTGGGACGAAAGAATGGTAGAAATGCTTCAAGGGCTGGAACAAGTTACAGTATGGCAAGGGCAGAGTCTTTTTCAAATGCAACTAAAAGGTTTAGGAATTCGCTGCTTCCAGCACCTGGAGTGACAATTTCCTATAGGAATACAAACTAAACCAGCAGTCTGAGCAATGGAGCATACAGGGAGTACTCATGTTGTACATTAACTTGGCATAGCCATGGTGCTAGTAATTTCTGTCTCTTTAGCCAGAATAATTCACAGTGCTGAGTAACTGACAGAAGGAGAAATTTTAAACTACTATGCCTACTCCTAAAGGGATCTTAAAACTAATCTGAGACACTTAAGAGAGCTGGGTTGTTTTTCAATAAAGAGGGCACTGGACTAAGGAAGAAAAACTTGAGGAGAAAGCTGAATTGAGACAAATCTAGAACATAAGTGAAGCACAACATTTAGAATGGCCTACCATAAAAAAGGTAGAATATTTGCTTCCTCATGCCTTCTTGTTGAAAGTAACTGGCTCCTGGTGTTCTGTCTATAAGTAAAATTTGTGTTTTGGTGGAACTTGGGTTATTGGGATCACTGGGGAGATTCAGTAGCCAGTTACATACAGGATATCAAAGCAGACTCCCTGGTGTCCTTGAATCAGGAGGATCTATAAGTGTGGGCAAAGGTGATGAAATTTCCGTGATGTGTAACACCTTCTTGAGAAAGAGCAACTTGAATTGTCTGCTGTGTTTGTAGACAAGAAATGTATTCTTATAGTATAAACTATGTGGAGAAAGAAAGATTGATGTAACTACCTCGCTAGCACTCAGCTTGTCTGCCCTAAAGCTTGTTGGAGTATCTGCAAGCACATAAAAGAAGCCATAGAAGGCTTTATTTCTGGGGAGGAGGCTTTTCTGTTCTGAGGAGATCTGCGCTGTCTGGAAATACCATCACCAGATTCATTTTTTGAAAAATGATGCGAGTCTTGAGCATGATTAAATCTCTTGGGGTTGGGATTCAAGAAAAAGCCATAATTTCTATCCTAAATTAACTTCTAATAGAGTAACAAAAGCCCTGAAGGCCACACCACTTCATCTTTAAAATGTTCACATATTAACGTCCATTAAATGAAGATGTTGTTCTATTGTGTAAGTATCTATATTTATTTTAATAATTTACTGCCTTCATAAATATTCATAAAATTGCTTTTTAACTGTCATAAACTTTAGAAATGTGAATGCTTGGATGTTTATACAGAGGTTATTGGCATATTGGCACTTACAGATAAGGATTTACTAAATGAAAAATATTAAAGATTCCCAGAATAAAGGCAACTTGCAAAGAGACTTCTGTTTAATAACTGTGTTAGTTTTAAAAAGTTAACTTTGGAGTAATTAATTTCACTTTTTCTACTTGTCTACATTGTTTATTTCTTCCCCTCTGGTACTTTTTATGGCTATCCCATATAACTGCAAAGATTGCATTTTAAATCTCCATTTAACTGTGACTTTCTCCTTCCATCCCTTCATCCCTCTTTATATATATACACACGTGTATGTGTGTCTATATGTGTATATATATGAATATTTATATACAATATGAGCATATAGATATTAAAAATTATACTGTATAAAATCAACATTTTTTAGGGACGTTCAACACCTTATACTTTTTATTATTAAGGACACTGACATTTGGTTGGTGAGTTTTGGTGTGTTTTTTTTGTTTTTTGTTTGGTTTGGTTTCATTTTTTTTTATTGTTTTGTTTGTTGTGGTTTGGGGTTTTCTAGGTTAGAATTTTTTCCAAGGTGCCTGAGTCTTTGTATACCCATTTTTCATGGGAGTAATATGGGATTTTTAATGATATTATGTCCCCTCTCAAGCCCCTTCTTGAAAATTTGAGC